GACCTTGGGCCCCCCACCCCCAGTCGGGGACCTCGGGCCCCCCACCGTCGGGTAAATCCTGGCGCCACCCCTGGGACATTATAAATGTGAGAATCGATGATGATATGTAATAGATAGTAGTATGATATGATTGCCACCTTACAATAGCTTGCAGATCCAGATATGTATACTTGACATATATCCAATTATCACCATCAAAACTGATAATAATGATATGATATCATATATATGCATGATATAGTTGTATGGAAGAAGAACAGAACGGAGCACCGAAACAACATCAACCCTGAAAAAGCAAACATTAACATGTTAGGTTGATTTCGTGAGCTTACGAAGAAGCTGTCTGTGATGAACACATTTTTCTTTTATCTTAAGCCGGGTATTCAATGTGGCCAGCGGCCATCAGCCAACGCTATTCTATGTGAACGCAATGCCACGACTCGAGTGCAACAAATCGTTTTAAATGACAAGTTCAGATTGCCACCAACAATCATTGTCAAGAGCACGACGAATCGCGCCTACGACGCATTGAGTGCCCAGTTTTAGACACTAATTATACCTGGACCATTTTCAGCAGGTGCCCAAGTTTGAACCCTTGTTCCATACCCAGGCAGCACTGTGCTCTTTGCAGCACAAGGTAGTGTAGGTACGAGCTTGCAGCCCAGACATGAAGTTAAACACCCCATCTACTGCCCTGTGTATAAGCGTAGACTCAGTACAGTAGTATCAAGGCTACCGTTACATTAGTTGGCGAGATAATGGATACTGATTAAAAAGTTAATTTTTTATAAAACTTTTTGATACTAGCATTCAAGAGCACATACAGATAGACCTGTTATCTGTATTTTGGACTATACAATGTTCTCACTCTGTAGAACACTAAGAGAAATAATAATTATTATTACTAGCTCTTATTATCAATTATCATATACTTACAATATACTATTGGATATGTATTCTATTGCTGACCTCAAGAAAGCCTTACACGTTGAGTATATGGACCTTACTGACAGCGTCAGCCAATGCTGAAAAATACAGAGGCCAGACCATAACATCATTATAGCTGTGAAAACATTATAGGGAAATATAGAGGGCACTATATTCAACTTACTGAAAACATAGAGGGGCAGAATATTTATAATAGAGGGCAGTATACTTAAATTACTGATTATATTTAAATTACTGAACAAAGTGGTAGCATATTCATCACAATCTGCGCAACAAAATAATCTGAGATTATAAACCCGTGCCCAGCTGTTCTCGTTGCATGTGTTTGCAAACATATGCTTTTAGACTCTAAAATGTGTAACAGATGGAGTGGTATTTTGTATGCATAAGTATAATATACGTAATACTAATTTTTTCATATATATGTATTATTTTTTTTTTCTATTGTGATAGAAAATTTAGTCGTTAGGGATTTTTGTTTGTTGTCATTATTATATGCTTAAACCGATTATAGATATGGATATGGAATTTCCGAAATAAAGAGAAATGAAAAATATCTAGGTACTGAATGGCAAGTGGTTGTTCAGCTAGAGTCGGCTTAGCCAAGCCAAACAAGTTAGCATTATAGGCCTTATGTAGCCGATCAATAAAGTTTGCGCGTACGCCGGCCCTTCACACCCCTTACTCTGGGCTGCGGTCATTCCACTCGAGTCAGCTCGGCCTAGTCAAACGATCCGCTTGAGTTGGCTCTGTCTGTTTGGCCACAAAATATATAAATAACATTCTAAAATCTCATACTTCCAATCAGCACCATATTTGAGGAGGATTCAGATACATAACATTGTTAATTAATGTGGGAAAATATCAGCCCAGTAGTTTTTGAGTTATGTCCCTGGAAAGGACACATACGCTATTGCTATAACATTTACCTCTCCTTCAGAGAAGTGAGAGTAATGGGACAATTTACTCTACCACAGAATTCTTTATCGCTGACACCCAAGCAGTCAATACAGCTGACAGTGATAGTGCTTCCTTGTTTTACATTGTACCTTTTTGTAAATTTATAGATTTAAATGGAATAAATGTGCTAAATTTGTGTAAATGCAACAAATGCATTCTGTAATAGGCTATTTAATTTCTGTGTTGTACAGTATTACTAGACCTTTGACATACACACGCTAAGTGAAACTATGAAAGTTTATTACCGGTGCGTTTTCATCTTTCATGGTGTCAATCTCTCTAGTTTGCCTTAAAGTGAAAACGTTGTTGGATAATTCCACCAAGAAGTCTCTCAATCGCCTTTGATTGTCATCTTTGTCATTCTTCTTCCAGCCGCCAGGCAACCAATCAAAATTGAGCTTATTTCTTGTTTGTCTCCATACTATAGCAACCTAGAATGGGTGACAACAAAATTTATAAATTGTTCCACAAAGCCCCACCATTTGGAAGGTTTTGCTAGGTCTAACAAAACAACAGGGAACAGTGAAATAATTTCACTGTTCCGTGTGTAAACGTATGTTAACACTTGCATTTTTGGGACAAGTGCATACATATTATGGCCCTGTTATTTGTAGGTTCAAAATATCATAGATGATTAATCAAGCATTAGAATACACACGCATGCTTCACTGACTTACTGGAAGTGTTGCGTCCTCAGTAAATTCCACACCCATTATGCGTGTAAAGTCTCTCTGAGTTTCTTCATACACGTACATAAACCTTGACCCATTAGGAAAGAAAGTTGTATCAACAGCAACTTGGCTGAAAGTTCTGCGAAACTGATCATGATGCTTCCTTCTCTGCGTGAACAGGATCACACAAACTCTGCAAATTGACAATAAACAGAATTATATTGATGCAGCCGCATTATATGAAATAGGCCTACTCCCCAGGAGGGGATTGGACTGGATTGAAATTCTTCGGTAAGGAGCCTATGAAAGTACCTACAACTTATTTTCAGTGGTGGTGAATTGGGCTGCACACCGGGAAACAATCCCCTACTTTTCTCCAAGGAGTGTTCTGCGTCAGTGCGGCACCAGCGGTGAGGCAGCAGTGGCTTAAGGCCCCGGACAAGTAAAGTCCCCCATCGGACAGCGTCGGGCAGTCGGACTAAAACAAAAAAATAAAAATAGGTCCACGCCAAGTCAACACATGTCTGTCACAGTCTGAGAGTGTCATTTCTGGCCATCCAGATGTTTCTTTTCTTTAAAAAATCTTATTTGGAAGGGGAAACCTCCTCTCAAACCCTTCCCCCAGCTCAAGCCTACGAGCTCAAGTCCAACCTGTCGGACAGCTCAGCCCCCCCGCCCACCACCACCCTAGAAAATATACCCTAGAGCCACCACTGTACTGTACAGTACTGCATACTTTGACCCATATTGCAGATGGGACCAACAGCTTAAACGTAACATCCGAAAGACAGTGCATTTTTAGAAACTTGCATTTCAGCCCTCAACCTGGAATTTGATCAGGAACAAAGAGATGACCACAAGTTTAGCCAACTGAGCTAGCTCAGGGAGCAGATTGTGAGTTAGGGCACAGGTATACTTAACATCTAAAGACATAAATCAAAATTTTTAAAAAAGTACAATAAAATGCAAACAAGACAGCAAAGGGTTAAACTTTTAAAGTATTTTCAAATACATTCTGTTTTTGAATGAATATAAGTTATAATAATAATGACTTAATGATATTAAGTAATGCAATCAATATAATAATAACGAAGGTCTTAAAGAAATATACAGTAATCAAAGAGTAATTACTTGCGATTTTTCTTTGAGACTGGGCATTGGTCATCGAACACATTTTGTGATGACAGTCTTTGAGGGTACAGATACAGGTTGTCCATTATGACATCACGAATTGATTTCTGATTAAGCATACCAGCCTGGTGAACACAAACCATTATTAACATCCTCATTTCATTATTATTAGGCCACAATTAAATTAGTTTGAGATACCCAAGCCTAACTTACCCAAAATCTCAAAGAATGTTGCCCTTTTTTAGGAAAAAAATTTTTTCCAAGGATGAGCACAAAGACTGACCGACGACCCTTACTGTACAAAATTTTAAAATACCGCATTTATTCAAAATGCCCAGCTTTTTGGAATAAGCGCCTGCCTCAAATAAATGCCCTAAGGCATATATTTTTTCCTTTCGCCTAAATGTACACAAATCTAATAGAAGCAAAACCATTCTCAACACACTATAAATGCTGTACACCAGTAGATTTACATTTTCTCTAACCTGGTTGCGATCAATAACTCTTGATCGCGCAATAAAACATTTTGATGGTATGTTAGGCCATGGGCTGGAGGGGGAATCACTGTGCACACTCCCCGCCCCACAGTTAAACTTCCTTGGTATCATTTTGTTCCTACGGGCATATACAACAAAAAAACTGATGTTAACAAGAAATATAGGGATGTATTGTATGTACTCGCGTCATTTGTAATGGTCGTTAGTATTTTATGGTCAATACTTTTTTTGGGGGGGGGGGCTTGTGAATTGTGAATTAAAAAAATCATCAATATTATTTTAGAAGCAATGTGTAGCATATATGTTTCTTAATCATATGCAGTTTGAATGAAATTAATCCGACAATTATTAATGTTACTAGAGGTCAAACCTTTTTCTAAAATGCAAACTTTTGCACAAAATTTTTTTTGTTCTATATGCCCGTAGGAACAAAATGATACAAAGGAAGTTTAACTGTGGGGTGGGGGAATGCACGGTGACCCCTCCCCCTCCAGCCCATAGCCTATCTTTTTTTACAGTGAAATTTAGGGGAATTTATTTGAGTACAATATATGTATAAAAATAACGCCTCAAAAAAAATTCCCCTTCAAAAACATTTTTCAACAATAAATGCCCCAGGGCATTATTTGAATAAATACGGTACTACTGTACATTAATACACCCCTACCTCTCGGGTAGCGACACAGTTGTCCTCTTTGAATACCAGTAAGCGCGTACTATCCACACCATATTGTCTACACATACCGTGCACTTGACTTTTGAAGCTAGCAAATCCGAATGCCATCTTGTCTCTGAATTCGTAGGCAGTTATTAGATAGAGAAGTGACGGCACAGATCTACGTGAGAACAGCAGTGTCCGCGGGCGGTTGTCAGAATAGCCAGCAAGAAAACTTTGGATGTTTTCATCATCTACCTATAGGAGACAAAGATTTGAATGCACAGAAAAAAATGAGCGAGGGTCAGGGCAACCTATACCTATTCTCTTAGCCCAAGTGTCCTACAGTACCATACACAATTACGAATTATCCACTATTGCGAACATTAATTTACATTTAATACGTACCACAGGCCTGTGGAAGAAGTTTGTTACTGCAGTGCTGGTCAGGCCATATTGGGGCTTTAACATTCCAAGCGAGTCTCAACAGGCATCTCAGTTAGAAGTTGAATTAACTAAAGATTGCATCCCCCGCCCCTTCCCCCCCCCTGCTCCTGGGGGGGAAACCTTTAGGTGTGTTGCAACATGTCTTGAATAAGTGTGTGGAAATTTTTCTTTGATGTTTTACAGTATAAATTAGAAGAAAATAAAATGTTGAAATTTACTGTGAATTTCTAAATAGTCCGAATAGCAATTGCTCATTACCTTATCGATGTGACGTGTCAAATTAAACATTTTCATGGCAAACGCCTTCAAGTTTTCAGTGTTGATAACCATCTGTGACCCAAAGTAATGAATCCTCCCTTCTAACACACCAACAATAGAGGGAAAACTGTCGACACCAAGATCAGGCAATAAGTCGTGGCCGTCGTAATCGGCATGCACAGTCCCAATGCCAATACCTAAAACAAAATACACTACTGGCCTTTAGCAGATAAACATACATTAATGTGTGGCTTTTAAAGTAGGCCTATGATTGAGCTCTGTGTTCAATCTTCAATAGACATTTCCTCTGAGTGTCAAACTTAACAACTGACCAATCAGAACAGGGCCGAAAATATGCGCGTATCTAGTCTAACAAGTACACGTCTCACAAATGCACGCGTCTGCCTATGGGCTTATTCGACTGGCTCATTTCGTTGAGTACGACTTTTTGTTGAGTA